GCCAGCTCTGCTCCTCCGGACAGCAGCAAATACCCCTTAGACATTTCTCCAGCCTCCCAGGCATTCAGCGCCGTGGCGAGGGCTGTGCTTTGCAGAAGGCTTAGGCACTTGGCACTCTCAAAACAAGGTTTCACCAGCTCCAGGGAGCAGATGGGCCGGACGCAGGCCTGGTGGCACACAGCCAGTGCATCATCTCTGGTTACTGGGGTCTCAGGGGAGATCAGCTGGGTGAGTCCTTCCGAGCTGCCAGTCCCTATTCCAGCCCACACCACTGGCCTCCACTGGGGAGGAAACACTACACAGCTTCCTTGGCAGCCTGCACCGTGTTTACCTGCTGGAGGCCACAGGTAGTTAGGAGGCAGCAAGGCATGCAGGATGGAGGTGGTTTGCCTTACTCCTTCTCTACAATCACTGCAGAGACCCCCAGCCCCTCATGCTGCAGCTGCTGCAAGAACAAACATGAGACGAGGAAAGTTGGTTTCAGATTTTTATTTCTTTGTACTCTTTAAGCAGGAGTGACTGAAATAGAAACCATGGTAAGTCCCGTTCAGGGAGGAATAACTTGATAAAGACAGGGCAGGCAGTCGCTCCTGCCCCACGCCAACCTGTATAAACATCCGCCGTCAATGTTTAGTATCTAGACGGTTTTCAAACCAGTCCATGAACGGTCATAGACTACATAGAACAACATGCCAGTTCACAACAGGAAACAACTTATGTGTACTTCTTGATTTCGTCATACAGGACTAAGACAAAAGCACCACCCATTCCTCGGAGTACATTTGACCATGCACCTTTGAAAAATGCCTTGGAGCCCTCGTCCCGGGCAATCTTCCGCCAGCAGTCAATAGTGCCACTGTACATTATGTCAGCTGCGGGAGACAGACAGCGTTAGGAATCTGATGCCCGTGACCCCCAACATCCAGGTCAGAAATGGCCTAACGTCTGTGCCAGCTTCATAATCTCAAGTGCATCCCATTTCTTGACTGACTTTCTCCAGCATCAGCGCATCAGAGGACAAGATCACCCAGGAGATACGCTGTTGCTGCTGCATTACCCCTGGGAGACACTGGAAGGACCGGTTCGAGCAGAAGGCAGCTACTGTTTGCTTTGACACCAACACTTCCAGACCCAAAAGCTATTGCACAGTCAGCCAGGCCGTGCCTGCGACCAGGGTTGTCTCTCTTCTTGGCCCAGAGACACTAGTTTGCAACATCTTTAGGCAAGTTCTGCTGTTGCTAACTACTGACAGATATCTGACTGGTACAGGCCACCTTACAGGCATGCTGCAGAGACTGACCCGTCCGTGCCCCCCAGCCTGCCATCCACTTCTGCAGCCCCTCTCACACCCTGCTGTTTACAAGAGATGAGGATATCCACACGGCTTGGTGAAAGCCAAGCCACTCTGCCTTCACCTCAGCTCCACCACCACCTGTTGATTCAGGGATGCCCGACGCTTCCTACGCAAGGAGACAGAAACTTACCTCCTTTACGGCCAGACTGCATCATCATGCGACGACGAACTGTATCGAAAGGGTAGGAGGTCAAGCCGGCGACAGCGGTGACGGTCTGAGCGATCATCCAGCTGACAACGATGTGGGTGTTCTTTGGGTCTGGAAGCATGCCTGCGGGAGAGAGGTTTTGGTGAGAAGGGCAGGTGAGCCACCAGCACCTGCCCAAACGCACCACAGGCCTGCCGCAGCCCAGCGTCTCCCTTCTAGCGCCATTTTGGTCAACCTACCCTTCGCGGTGTCGTAGATGCCGAAGTAGGCGGCTCTGTAGATGATGATGCCCTGGACAGAGACGCTGAAGCCTTGGTAGAGGCCCCTGAGGCCATCCGACCGGAAGATTTTGACCAGGCAGTCACCGAGCCCGCTGAACTCCCGGTCGGCCCCGGCTTTACCCACATCCGCTGCCAAGCGGGTTCGGGCAAAATCAAGGGGGTAGACGAAGCAGAGGGAGGTAGCGCCGGCGGCACCCCCGGACGCCAGGTTACCGGCGAAGTACCGCCAGAACTGGGTCCGTTTGTCCACGCCGCCCAGGAAGATCTGCTTGTACTTGTCCTTGAAGGCGAAGTTGAGGGCCTGGGTGGGGAAGTACCGGATCACATTGGCCAGGTTGCCGCGCCAGAAGGAGAGGACGCCCTGCTCCCGGGGGATGCGCACCACGCAGTCGATGATGCCCTTGTACTGCTTGTCGGCGGCGATCTGCTTGCTGGCGTGCTGCACCTGCGGGGGCCGAGACGCCGCCGTCAGCTCCGCGACCCCCCCTGGCCCGACGCCCCGTCTCCTTGCGGCGACCTTGCCCCGGTGGGCCCCCCCTCCTTCCCTCCCTCCCCGGTGCTCACCTGCAGCAGCAGCTTGACCCTCTCGATGGGGGCGACGGCGGTCTTGGAGATGGCGGCCGCCACCCCGCCGGCGAGGAAATCCTTGGCGAAGGACACGGCCGCATCGGTCATGGCGGGAGGCGGCGGGAGAGGCGAGGCGAGGCCGGGCGAGGCGTGAGGCGGCGGAGCCCGGGGGTGGTGGCGGTGAGGGGGGGGGCGCGGAGCCTCCTCCATCTTCAGGCGGGGGACAGGGCGCAGTGTGAGGGCCCGAGCCCACGGAACCTCAGCTGAGCCCCCCCACTCCGAGACCTCTCCCCTTAGGATCTCCCTGCTCTGGGAGTCACAGAGCCGCAAGTACCGTACGGATTCCCGACATCAGTCGCACGCACAGAGCGCAGCTGGGGCGAGATGCTCGGACAGACACGTACCCCACCACCCACCACCTCCACTGCACGGCGGCCTCCAAACGTCACCCGAGTTACAGTTCACCTACCTAACAGCTGTCTCTACCATTTAGCCTTGCTACTAACCGGTTCTTCGTGATCATACACCGTTTTACAGCGATCCGCTTCTGAAGCACCTTCGTTTCGGTGCCGTCTTAAGTATTTTGGTGTTACCTTTTGGGGGAGTTCTCATGCATAGATGTGATTACGCAAAGTAGAGGCTCGGCTGATAACAGGTTAGTGAGTGATTTATGGATCGTAGGAGTACATTACAATACAAAGGTGTTAGTAGCATATCAGAAACAAGTTAGAGGTAACTTTTTGACTCACTTGACTCTTACCAGGTTTGAAGAGCTGATCAGACATTCATATGCACCCATCATTCAATCTTTAAAATCTACTTAGAAATACAACGTTAGTAAAAAACATACAGGTATGTTCGGGCAAGGTAAGGGCACTCTTTAGAAATCCATTCCTCCCCAATACGCTCACAAGTCACATCTCCTTATTCATACATCTCAAGTAAGTCTCAGTATTATTACCTGCGCTGTGCAGAGAGGGAAACTGAGCCAGAGAGAAACATGTTCACTAGGCAGGTTGATTAGAGAGCCAAAAGCACTTACAGCCTCAGTGTGAAGCGCGAGCCACCCGATCTGCTCTCTACCATCTTAATTTTTGCTATCAGTGCTTGCATTTCTTCTCTGAGAAGAAAACCAGTACGAAGCACCACTGCAGCAGAACTGAGCAAGCCCATTAAGAGATACTGCAAGGCCTCAGCTGTAGGGTACATCAGCGCCAAGTTCTAGGTGCAAGGCAGGCCTTACAATTATCCCAAATCTTTCTGCAAATCTCTCTCCATAGTCACAGACTGTCCCTGCATCGATCTGCCATTTCCTCACCCTGCTGTGACCTGGCCTAACCAAGCAGTTTCTGAGATTGACTTATTTACACCCAGCAGGGACATAAACGGTACAAAAACACACACACGCACAAAGCTGCGTAAACCACAGGGCAAATCCTGTGCTGAGCCCAGGCTGCTGCAGCTAGGGCAGGCGTGGGGTGCACACACCTTAACGAGCTGCTGTGATCCACACATTGCCACAGCCCGAGGCTGGTGGGACATGCGGCAGAGGGCAGAGCCGCCTTCCCGCGTGGATACGGGGTTTAAGGTTTTCTTAAAGGCACTAGGATGGGGCTGTTCCATAGCTGTACTTCTACAAAGGAACCAGAGCAATACCCCAGGTCCTCAGGTATAAACACCAAGATGATCTTTTATTGTCCAAAAGCTCCCTAGACCGCTCAATGCCCATCGATTGCATTGGCACCAGCAATAGCCTCGTGGCCTTGCTGAGAGGTTCCTATCTACAGAAACTATCTGTGGCTCCCGCATCACAGCAGCTAAAGTGGAAAAATCACAGGTTGTGTGCACAGCACTATTCTGCTGGCAAGGTCTGAGCAGCACAGTAGGCCTGAGTCTGTGCACAGGAACTAAAAAGTAGTTTAATATAAAAATAGAGCTTTAAGAATACCAAAACAACATGACAAGGCTCGTGGGTCTGAAATATCTAATACATTTAAGAACTGCGTTTTTCAGGAAATATTTCAGTTAGAGAACTTCAGGAAAAACTATTTTTCAAAGCCTGAAATAATTCACATACATGCAGTAACAACACAGGAAGAAAGGGGGGCAGATTTTCTAGTACGCACTTGTTTCCAAGATTGTTATTCCAGTGTATTACAGTTCATTTTGCACATCACAATCCTCTCTTAGTAAAAGCACAGTAGCAGCAGCATATTTTCATCTTTACGCCAAGGATTCATACAAAATTATTATTCTCAAGTAAGTCTCAAGAACTGAAGAACTGAAGAGGGGATTCTGGAGTGTGACTGAACTGAGACTAATTCTGCATCCGCAGAATGCCACGTCCACACAGTATCACTAAAAAAAAAAGATTTCAGTAGAAATTCTTGCATGTTGTACGTATTTCAGTCTGTTTATCATTTTTGGCTGACTTGGTATCTCAGATTACTTAAAAAAAAATCCATTTGGATTTTCTTAATATTTTTGAAGATACAATTTATACGCTCATCTCAGTTCTCTTGCCTTTCTGCAAGTGGTTTTATCTCAAAATGGCTATTCAGTATTGAAAAGCACCTAGAATAACGTAATTTCAAGTTCCAATAGCATAGTTGCATCTCTCCTCTTCAGTATATGCTTGCTGTTCATATTGTTTATATCCATTCAGCAAATGAGATACAAGATTTATTCATTCCTGGCACTGATGTCTCAGTACTAAAACCATGCAATCCGCTGAGACGCTGGTACCTGTAAGTTCAGCATGTCTTTCTTGCAAAGGTCCTTCAGAAAGGTACTGTGTATATCTGCAATGACTCTGATGTCAGTTTTCAAGCGCTGATTTCGTTGGCTCAAAATTTTGCCTTCGGAGGAGCTTTAATTCTCTCAGTTCTTGTGGCTGTAAACTCTGGTCCACACCAGGAGTTAGCTTGTAATTTAAAGGAGATTCAATATAACCATTTCTGTAAAGACAGACCCGCTTGCAGAATTCAAAGGTGCTAAACATAACACCGAAGTATGGGACAATCTGGTAAAATTAAAAAAAAAAGCACAACATAAGATAAAAAAGCAATATTAGACTCAGTAGTAGCCTTCTTAGCTTAGATGTTTTAAAAAATGAAACTTCTAGGACTTCAAATCTGATCTGATTTGCTAATAGACCTGTGCCCATTTATATAAAATCAGAGTCTCACCTCAAACTAGGCTAGCACCTGCTAAAAGTAGGAGTTTATTATTGGTACATAACTAATTACAACAATATTGTGAGGAACAAGGTCTGTGCTAGCCTATAGATTATCATAACTTGTCAAATACCTAAGCAAATCCTAAGCAATGTCAGCAAATCCCGGTACGAAATATGGGATTTATTCTAAATACAGCAGAGTGAGTGAACAATTTTCTTCTTTTGCCCCACGCAGAATCAGCAGCTCTGGTGCCACGTGGCTTTATACCAGCCAAGGTAGGGCCAGGCACAGGCAGGCCATCACAATCACGTTGTCACTCAATTACCACTCATTAGCTGACCTATAGTACTCCATGTAGGTAATCCTCACCGCAGCACTATAAAATGTGTTTATGTAAACTAAATTACCTTCTGTTTAAGCTACCATGCTTTATTTCGTGCTTTCAACTCAGCAAGGGCTGTAGTAACCAATATGCATGCATTAAGTAGCTGTTCGAAAGTACTACTTCTGACTTCTGGGGAAGTGGCTTATACGCGCCCAATTTTCTTTACAGCTCGGTACAACATGTCAAATTACTGGAGCTCAGCTGAGAAGTAGAACTTGTTTAGCTGTCTTAAGTGGATCCCTTGCAACCCCCCATCCATAGCCTACCTTGTGCATTAGCACCACTCCCTTCTCTAAAGACATTCAAGTGAACTTGAAAGTAGTGACATCTAGAAGCCAAGCTTACGTTTGGGGAAACATGACCAAACCAAGTTCCAAAGCTGGTTTATAACCTGCCTGAAGTTATGCCTGTTCTGTCACAGACTCTGTCATCTATAAGCAGCTAATAAGCACAGAGGCATGTCATAAGCTTTATAACCCCAACTGTCCAAAAGTGTGTCTTGATTACTTCAGGATAGTCTGTGATTAGGGTGAAAGCAAAACCTCACCTTGAGCAGACTGGGTGTGAGCCCACTCCAAAGGCCAAGCACGCCTTTGTTCTTCACAGTTTGCCGGAAACAGTCAGCCATGCCAGTAAAATGGACATCAACTGCTCCGTAGTGGGGAAGCCAAGGACTCTGGGCCTGTTCAAGAGACACCCACGGGGATTTAGAACAAGCAAAGGAAAACTAAAGTAATTGAAGATCATTATTTTCTCCATTCTGGTACGTAAGGAACGCTTAAGGCCAGGTTTCAACAGACTGATCTGGATTCTTCCATCAACCCAAAAGAATCAGCTATTTTGCCTTCAAATACAAACTAAAAAGGGAGGGAATTTACTCTCCGATAGGTACGAAAGAGAGCCGTAATTTCATGCAGCACTTCCTCTTGTGCCACGTTGCTATTAGAAATAAATCCCACCCTTGTGAAGACAAACCATCTGAACTAGAGCCGCGTAACGCATCAGCCCCATGTCTGCCAGCTGCTCCGGTCTGGGAGAGGGATTTCACACCACTGGCCGTGGAGCACCTACGAGAGGGAAGCTTGGGGCTGGCCCCAGATGCTACACTGCCGTCCTGTAATTCCCATCAAAGCAGAAGAACGTGCTGGCTTGACTCTGGCTGCTGAGGCTGGGTCCACAGCGCAATGAGAAGGGCGAAACGTGCTACGGGTTGAGTGGCAACAGCACAGCAGAAACAGAAAAACAGAGATTTCAGCCCAGGCTGTGCAAGTCCACCGACGGCTGTAGGGGAGCAGTTGGTGCCTGTGCTCCTGTATCTTTGCTACATGGTCAGTTGATCCGGACTGGTTAAAGTTAGCTTGGGAGCATCCTGCTGGACTGCAGATACATTTCCAACTGCAGTATAGACAGTGTCCGTTCACATGGAAAAAGTGTAGTGTGTCATTTTTAACAGCAAAATCCTTCCTTCATTAATCTCCTACTGCGTTAGCACAGACAGGATAACCTGACCTTGAATAATCCCATCCTCATCCGTCTGTGCACATGCAGCCATGGGTTTATTTTGCATTGGCAAATCAGGGTTTCACTCAAACACATGGCAATGACACTTCTCAGTCACGAGTGTGTGGGGACCCCAGGACACAGGCTGATGACTTGTGTGTGCAAGCTGATCACCACAGGGCAGAAGTTTGATAAAAATGGGACTTGTACAGTTAACCGATTGGCGAATATGGATATCATTATCCCCTCATTGATCTGAAACACCATGTGGTGCAGCAGACTTTGGCCAGACTAACTTACAGCTTCTCAGAGCTGCTAAGCCTATGACAAGCCTCTCATAAATCAACAAGTGGTAATGACATTCTCTAGATGCCCCAGCTATAGCATTTCAAATACTTGGCAACTTCAGTGCTGGGAATGGAAACAGATCAAAACTCATGCTCCAGGTATATAAGAGAAGTTGCTAATCAAATAGTTTTAATGCTGTTGCATCCCCTTGCATTACCGGCAAGTCTACTGCTAAAATTTAGAGGCTAACAAAACCCCCCTAATCACACACACCAACTGCATAGTCTTTATCTACAAGAAAATCAGGTATCGTGATTTTTTTCCTCACTTTTGTGCATGATTGAAATGCACATGAAATAATTCTGATGGCAGGTAACAGGTAAAACCATAGTTTCCTTCTGACAGGGCTTTGGGAGGTGATTTTGGGAAAGTAGCTGTGTGCACTAAGAAAGAAGGCAATAGGCTTCCAACCACATCCTGACTTGTCATCTTCTGGATCCCCTTTATCATGTCCTGGCTCTTTTACCCCAGACAAGAGTAGGGCTGAGGATTTAATCCATGGTCTTTTACACTTTAAGGAGAACAGAAGCATTTGCTTCCCTCTGAACTTTCTCAACAGTGTACCTGATTTGTAAGAGAGGGATCACATTTGTGGGGAAGAAAGTGTTTCAACTTTCTAATTGCTCGTCCCCTTTGCATCTATATTGGCCTTGCTAACTTCATGGGGCTACAGCTGTTTCCGAAATTCCTAACTGTGGTGCAAGCTCCCACAGCTTCCTGTTTTAGGACTCAGAGAGGCAGATGTTACGGGATTTAACTGTTGTGATTTTACAGTATTACCAGCCCTGCCCTTACAGGTAGTTCAGGTAATAGAGCTAGTCTGGTACACCAGGGACATGCACATGTTCACTTATGCTCATTTGCTACAAGGAAGCTCAGCTCTGTTACTTGAGGGGTGTAAGGGTTTAAAAAGCAGTAGCTAAATCCAACAGTGAGAAAGAGAGAAATAACTTTTCAAGCCTTAATCCACAGTACTTGAGAAACTCCTGCACAAAGACTCTCATGACTGTACTGTAGAAGATGCCGAGTGCTGCAACTGAGGCTTCACGGACCAGTTCCACAAAGAATGGTGATATTAGCATCAGGGATGCTTAGAAGAGCACTCAAATGATGCAAGTATCCTTCAAAATGCAGCAGCAATCATAGGAGAGCTGGATTCAAAACCTGTTCTACTTTCTGGACTGTCAGCCAGTTTCCACAAGCTCTTTTGGTAAAGGAAGTTACAGGCAGCCAAGCAGTGTAGAGGGACAGGTTTCTAAAACGTTCAGGAAAGCAGGAATGCTGTTAACATGTGATTCCCTTCCTTTCTAAGTCCCTTTGTGGTAGGCAGGGCATGACCTGCCAGAATTAACTGCATGAGTTTGACTTAATCCCCTTCGTTACTGTACACATTGCAAAGGCACTTATCAAAGGGTTTTGATTACAGTACTCCTGCCTACACCACCAAGACAGGCGACAAGCACGCTGCAGATTTCAGTAGGATTCTGCACGCAGTAAACACATCCAGAAGACAGTTGAAAAGGAACAGGTAAGTCAAACCCCCAGACTTCTAATTTGCCCGCAGACATTGACCTCTTAAGAGATTTACTGAAAGACTATTTACAGTAACATTCACCACGGTTACAGCCATTTTCAAGACTTCAGTCTGTGGGGTGAAGTATGCTTTGCCAGTCTTTCTGCTTTACAGGAGCAGCATGTTTCTAGGACCCTACACACACTATTTAAGCAACAATTGTCCACAGAATCTCAGAATCACCTACTACAAAAGGAAAACTAAAAACTGTGTGTAGTTAAAACTTCAGTGTTTTGGAACACAGCTAAACAAAATTAAAATTTTTTAATAAAAGAAAAAAATTAGGAAGGCATTTCATTTGGCATTGCTTTTAATGAAAAAAATAGCTGTGGGTTTTGGGTGGTTCTGCATCATCTAAGCATGTCTACAACACTGCAATTCTCACAACCGCCTTATGGCACCAGAGCCAGAAAATGGAATTAATGAAACAGACCAAACTAGTTTCTCTACCTTTTTTGCAGAAACCTACTATGACATACAAATCAAACAGCTAATCTCATGCCAAAAAGATCAGGTTTATGACAGAGATGTTTCACACCATGCACCTCAAAGCAGCTTGAATTCCTTTCTTTTGACACCCTTTGACACTATGGGCTGCTGCATGGAAACCTGTTTGTTATGAACATTTTTAAAGATTTCCTTCCCCCCCCAGTTACGGCTGTCTCATACTGCAGAAGGCTGGAGATACAGTACAGCTCACTGCGCTGATAACAGAGTGCCAAGTTGTTAGTCATAGTAATAGCGGGGCTAAGTTGCTAATCTTTTTACCTCTGATGGACGATGGGTTCTCTAAATGATTAAAGCACATCAAATGCAGAATTGGCTCCATCTGCCCTCTCACAAACACCATCTTTTAGTATCCAGAGGCCACCAAGTCTAGTAAATCACTGTGATACATCCCCAAAGTTAGCACTCTATTTTGACAATCTAAACCCAAGAGAGAGACACGTATAAAAAAACCCCAAACACAACTACCTGCACTCACAGTTTTTTATAGAAACAAAATAAGGGTGAAGTGTCATGACAAAACTCAAGCTAATTGTTAATTGTTACCTCAAGACTCTTCAGACACCATCCCTCCCATTGACTGTATCAATAAGGTGACTTCCAGAACAACACAGTCCCAGTTTGGGAACTAATCTCACAGACCCTTATAAAGATTAGCCCTTCAATGACCCCCCCCAGCCCCTCTCCTCCTCCTCTCTTAGGATTGAAGGATGGATGTAGTTCACCGCAGCTGCAGTGGGAACCATGCCCATCAAAAGATTAATCACTTGAACCTTTCCAAGGCTCCCAGTAGCCACACGGGGACGGAGCAGAGACCTCCCAGTGAGGAAATGGCAGACACGATGGTTGGGCCACTGGAGCCCGAGCCCAGAGCTATGCAAATAAAAAATTCCCTCTTGCGCTTTAGGTCATTTTGGTTTGCAACTACCTGAATTTACATGGATCGGAGGCTATTTAGAAATACTTTTCTCTCAATACATGTACTTTTTTACCCCCTTCGGTGTTCAGAAAGTTTGTTGCTGCAGAGATTTGGTATTTATACACTTTTAGAGCATGCAGTACTGTTGGCACAGAGTATGAAAGATCAACTAACAGTGAATAGCTGCCATGGGTGGTATGCTATCCTGATGGTAGATACAGTAAAATTGCTTGTTATTTATATATTTTCAACAGATTCGGGTGTCCTACACTTCTGATCAATTAAAAAAAAAAAAGTACATGAAGGCAGTTTACAACACAGCTCAAGAGTTCACACTCTTAATCTGGAAGCTAAAATAAGAAGTCTTTGCAGTCTGGGTTAATAAGGACACATGCAACGAGCAAGCGTAACTGTCGTTCAGAGGAAACTGAAGGACAAAGACTGCAGTTTTCATTCAAGCTGATGCCACTCCAGTCAACAGAAATTTCACTCAAGTGAAGGCTGAATGCTTTGAAAGAGTGTTTCATTCCACTCAAATAAGAAAGAATTAAAACGTAAATGAGTATTAATATCGGGGGGAAAAGCATGCATTCTCTTGGGCTAACCCATCGTTTCAGCTGGAGGACAGCCTTACGTGGTGGTCACCTTTCCTGTGTCAGTGGTTTGGTAATGCTGACCTACCCCTGGCTACAGTCCACCAGAGGTATTCAGGCATGTCGGAAGGTAAACCATAGCAAGCTATCAGGAGGCAATCGGTTCCAGAGCAGCAGAGCAGCTGACCTCCAGCTTTCTGCACTCTAGGAACATGTTGTCCTTTACTTTGTAACCTGAACTG